GCAATGATTAACTTTGATAGATTTGGCTCTTCTCAGCAATGAAAGGATCTAAGACAACTCCAAAAGACTCATGATGGAAAATGCTATCCACATCCAGAAAAAGAACTTTGGAGTCTGAATGCAGATGGAAGCATACTATTTGCTCTCTTTTTTGTTGTTGTTTTGTTTTGTTCCTTTTCCCACCATTGTTTCTAATTCTTTTCTACAACATGATCATCTTACAAAACAAAGTAACAGCAATATTATAAGATGATCAGCTGTGACTTAGCTATTCTCAGCAATACAATGATCCAAGACAACTCTGAAGGACTTATGATGAAAAAGGCTGTCTGTCCCCAGAGATGGTGTCTGAATACAGATTGAAGCATACTTTTTTTAACTTTATTTTTCTTGAGGTTTTTTTGGTCTATGTTTTCTTTCACAACATGACTAATATGAAAATGTTTTAGATGACTCCACATATATAACCTATACTGAATTGCTTGCCTTCTCAGTGGGAGTGGGTGGGGAGGAAAGAAGCAAGAGAATTTGGAACTCAGTTTTAAAAATGAATGTTAAAAATTGTTTTTACATGTAACTGGAGAAAACAAAATACTAAATAATTTTTTAAAAAGAAGATAGATTGGAGCTAGGTTGTGACACTGCCAGGATGAGGAGTTTTTCTGTCATCTTAAAAATTTTTTAATTTTATTTTTCATTTAATGAGCATTTATTTTCTTTCACTCCATTGGGAAAAAGAAAAAAAAAACTCTTGTAATACACACTCACACAGCCAAGCAAAATAAATTCCCCCATTTGGCAGTGTCCAAAAATACATCTTATTCTTCATCGAGTTGCTTTTATGTCATTCCAGAGGCCAAAGGGAGCCATTCTAAGAGCTTCTAAGGAGCAGGGGATAGTTAGATCTGTGCTTTAGGAAGATTCTTTTGGCAGCTCTGTGGAGAATGGATTGGAGAAACTGAAAGCAAGGTGACCAATTAGGAAGCCCCAAGGGTGCAGTGAAAAGGCGATAAGGACCTGAACTATGGTGAGGTCCCTGAGTGGAGGGGGAGTGAGGAGGAATCTGGGAAATGTGGAGGTAGAAATGACTTGTCTTGATAACTAGTTGGATATGGGAGTGGGGTGTGGAGAATGAAGACTCAAGGATAACTCCAACCTGGCACTTTCAGGAGTAAGAAGATGAGTTCCATTTGAGAGATGTTGAGTTTGAGGAGTATCTGGGGTGGAGGGAGGGGAGAGTGCAAGATCTACAGATAGAATATAGGGCATAGAGAGTAAAAAATGCAGAACTATGTGATAAGGGAGAGATTGGGGCCACATTTGTAGATTTGAATGCCATCTTCATAGAGATGGTAGTTAATATTATGGAAGTGAATGAGGTTACTAAAGCGAAGAGGGTAAAGGGAGAAGAGGGCAGAGGATAGTTCCATGATGAAGGGGGATGAGTAGGACAATGAACCCTTAGGACTGTGAAAGAGATAGGGAAGTAGTGGCTAACATAATTCTTTGAAGATGTTCATAGGTTGTTTGCATGTGTGTGTAATGCAGTTGTGTACAAGTGTGTATCCATGCTAAATTTTAAACTCTTCCAAGTCAGGAACCATCTCTACTATTCATGGTATTTTACATTTCAGATTGTTAATTAAATGTTTCATGAGCATAGCTCTTATCTCCCTATTATACTTAGTCTCCTTCATCAGGGTCTAAAACAGAATTGCCACGCACAATAGGCACTCAGGAAGGTTGTTTTTTTTTTTTAATTGAAAAACTGAATCTCTGGGCCTCAGCTATAGCAAAGGCTCCTTCCTATAAAACTTGAGATTCCCACTCACCCACCCACCCAGTGGTTGCAGGAATGTACCTTAGCTCCCACCCAACCTCCAGGACTATGTAATGAACTGGGATTGATTCATATCAGACAGATAGGGATCTGTATCACACACATTTCACAAATTTTTTAAACAGCATTTGCATAGTATTTTAAAATTTGTAAATTGCTTTACATATATTATCTCATTTGATCCTCAAAACTACCAGCCCCCTGAAATGGGTGCTTTTGTTATCACTGTCTTATTTATAGATAAGGAAACTGAGGCTGAGAGAGGTTAAATAACTTACCCAGGTCATACAGCTAGTAAATGTCTGAGGCAGAATTTGAAGATATCGAGCCCAATGCTTTTTCTACTAGCTGTTCCTTCATAAACTTTTCATAAAACATTTTGGGCTGCTTGGAACTAGGCAAAGGACAACCTCATTTATCTGGTCCCCTGTTTTTCTTTTTTGTTGTTGTTCACTCATTTCTGTCATGTCCAACTCTTCATGACCCCATTTGCAGTTTTCTTGGCAAAGATACTGGAGTGGTTCGACATTTCCTTCTCCAGCTCATTTTACAGATGAGGAAACTGAGGCAAACAAGGTTAAGTGATTTGCCTTGGGTTGCACAGCTGGACCAGAGAATGGATTTGAACTCAGGTCTTCCTGACTTCAGGACTGGCACTCTATCTACTGTGCCACCTAGCTGTCCCTCCCCTACTTTTCTACATCTCACCTATCCATCAGACTTTCTGTGAAGAGTTGGCATATCACAGAATCAAAATTGGCAGAGGCCTGGGAGGTTATCTAGTTCAAAACAAACCTAAGTAGGATCCCCTTCTATCTCATCTCCAATAAGAGGATCTAGTCTCCACTTGAAGACTTCTACAGAGACAAAACTCACTACTTCCTGAGTTCACCTAATCCAATTTTTAGACTATATATTTATATGTATAATGTGTGTATATGTGTATATATAGATATGCACATATATACATACACACATGTATATGTTAACATATATATATGTGTATATTATATATATATAGTTCTCCACATATTGTCATCCTGCAACATTTCCATCTCCCTTCTCTTCCCCACATACACTGTTTCTGCTCACTGAGGCCAAACAAAACAAATTTGAACAATCATTCAGATTTTTGAAAATGCTTAATGGATTCCCCATTTAAGCTTTTGCTTTTCAATGGCAAAACATGTGAGATGATTTCTAATCTGCTCAGCACCCTGGTTGCTTTCTTCTGTGTCTACTCCAGCTTGTTATTGTATTATATCACATTATATTATATTATATTATATTAATAATATATTATATTCTTTCCTCAATGTGACCCTCAGAACTGAAGACAATACTTCAGATGAGGGTCTGAGCGGAGGACACTAGAGTGGAACCACCACCTCCCTTCTTCTGGGTGCTATGCAAGATAATGTTTTGTTTAATGGGCATTCTAAAGTATTCATAGTATCTTAGATTTGAAAAGAACTTCAGGGATCATCTGGCTCAATGTCTTCACTTAACAGAAGGGGAAACCAAGGCCCAAGATCACACAGCTAGATTATTTTTCTTAGAAGGAATGGTCATGGAATTTGGAATGAGTGGAAGTTGTCTTTCACTCACACCTCCCTCCCTCCCTCATGCTATAACCAGAGGAGAACATTAGTGACTACTGATTAATGTTCAAATAGATCTGTGAGCTCATCAATTAAGATATTCCTTCCAGTTGTACAAATCACAACCCATCCATGTTTGCCCATCTTCTGTACCTCTTGTCCATGTCCTCACATAAATTCACCATGGGGACATCTATCCAATATGCTGGAAGCTTTTCACATTTTCTTAACCTTTCAAGGATGCTCATGGAACCCTCTAGATGCCCACCTGTCATTTCTCACTCTTGCCACATCCTCCCACATAATACTATCCTTTATTCAAGTTCTTCAAAGTTCTTTTTTCATTTTACAATGTAGTTGCTCATGCCCATCCTATATGGAACTTATTTTTAATTCCTCAGAGAGTATTGTGTTTGTTCCTCATTATTTTGCTCCTTTTTGTTTCGTGTGAAGGCTTTCTCTGCCTTGTTAAATTTTATCTAGTAATCTTCAGTGACCCCAAGATTTCCATGAAAGCAAAGACTCAACTTTTTGATAGAGAATTAACATTTTACTAACATTCAGCATCTTCAAAAATCTGAATGATTGTTCATACTTGTTTTGTTTGGCCTCAGTGAGCAGAAACAGTGTATGTGGGGAAGAGAAGGGAGATGGAA